ATAAAGCACTTTAAGATGTAAGAGCTTTGTTGTTGCCTATTGCTTTAGCGTCCACGAAGTTCAAAAATAGAATTTAAAACAAAATGGTCTAAATCAGAGGTCGTAAGAGTTTTCAAAATATATTTTTTACTGCTACTGAAAATATCCGTAAATTTTCGTTAAAAAAAATGAAAATGTCTCGTAACAAAGATACAATTTTTTGTTTTCAATCTTATCTAATTCGAAACAATTTCTTAGCTAAATAACGAGGATAATCCTAATAATGATCAATGGTGTTCRTTAATCATAAAGTTTATCTAAACTCAAGATTTGTACAGTTGCAGCGAGAAGCCTAAGATTGAATGAAAGATTGAACTTTCTCTATCGTTCTTAGTCTAATGATAGATAATAAGTTTTTGTAGAGTTAGATTTTAACTTTTGTAAGTCAGATTTGATCATAAGAAGAATCAAAGAAAGAGTGAATAGCTTTTGAGATCTGTATTTAGCTTTATATCTTCTGTATCAAGTTAGTATCTGTCCTTATTCAATACCTTTACCATTTCTACAGCTTTTTTCACAATTTTTCTATTTATAGCTTACCTTTAACGACACATCTCRGTCTCTTACTTGTCTCACTGGTGTAAAACGAAGATGACTAGACTTTAAGAACAAGGCAGACATTCAATTAGTTATGTTAAAGGAACTCTGTTACTTTTATGACGTTTTGTGATAGCAGTGTTATCGTCACAGTAGGGGTTAGACGCACGGGATAAAAGATAACGAAAACAACATTACTTGAACAGAACGAAGAAATCAAATGACATGAAAACAAAGCTAGAGTTTACACTCTTTATGAACACAAGTTTGTCTAATTCTTGGCTTACACCTACGTCATCTAAAATCTTCCCATTACTTACATAAAACAAAAATTTGATGGGCTGAAAGCGACACTAAAATCGTATATCTCAGCCGACGATCTAGTTAAAATAATTTTAAGATACGAAGATGCAAGCGATTCAAACACTGACGAAATGTATGGGTACATCATCTTGGTGTCCCACCGAGGGGCAAAAACATGGCGACCTAATCGCGATGGTTGAAAATCGTGTTTATAATGCAAACAATTCAAATTTYCAATACCAGTAATCATCAAAATAATGTTACCCACCRTCTACCAATTTTAAAAAGTATTGCTTTAAAAGTATTTCCCTACATCTTCTACTTTAAAAATGCGTGACGAAATTGGATGCATGCGTGACAGAATATGACTCGCAATAAATAGTTTTGTGGAGTGGACTTTCGGGTTTTAGTGAGAACAAATAATGCTCTTATTAGA